AATATATTGATCCAGTAATTAATTTAAATTACTCAAATTACATAAAAACACAGAGACGATCTGCACTCCACCGTAGCTATCGCAAGACTCTCATATATATATCATATACTTCCTGTCTATACAATCTCCTCCAATTTAAATCATCAAGCTTCTCCGTTGAAGTCCTGACTTGACTTTCAAACAGTGATGCGAATGTAAGAGAAGCGCTGGAATCTCTTTGAACCCTGCTTTGCCTCTCACATTAGAGAAGCAAAGCATGGCTCAGGGTTCTCTAGGCTGAATGTAAATATTATACAAAGGAATGAGTGCGACGAGTAATTTTTTTTTCTTTTTATTGCCCTTTTAATTTATTTCTTTTTGTAAGTATCTTATATTTTTGTTGTTATTTTATTGTATATATTTTTTACTTAGATGTTTTCTTTTTTCTTAATTTCTATATAATAGTATGGATGTACACATAGAGCCTTAATGCCCAATAACCTTGATTGTGGCTGATTGTATCATTATTATTCCAATAAAAAGATTATAAATCAAAATAAAAAAAAAATAAAAAAAGACGAATAAATATATTATTTACTATCATACTATCCTTATATTTCAATTTCAGAAGTTAGAAGAGATTGGCGAAGAGAAGCACTAGCTGATCCAGGATTTAATTTTGGGGGGGGGGGCTTCAGCCCGAAACCTTTTTTTTCCATAAAAATAACGATAATTACTTTGGAAAAACAGAAAGAAACTAACTACCTATATGAAATGGTGTTTAAGTTATTCCTTAAGTACTTTTAAATGTAATTACACGACAATAATACTTTAAGAGGTATTTTTAAAATTTTTTTTCCCATAAAACATGGTTATATTTTTCCATTTTGGGGTGGGGGGCTTCAGCTCGAATGCCCTCCCCCCCCCTCCCCCGTAGATCCGCCCGTGAAGAGAAGTAACACAAAATTGCGAGCCTCACATATTTTTCACGCATTATGACTTGTTTAAACTAACAAATTATTTTATCTTTATAGTTTGACTCTTTTTAGATCGGTGAAATAAATTGTTTTTAACTAACTTTGAATTTTTGGGTGACACATACTACATGGTAGGATATATGTTTATTCGCAAAATAATATATACAAGGTGTCTTAGTTCTTAATGGGCAAACTCTGGGACGTAATTTTTGACAAAACTTCCAACAATTTTTTTTATTTAATGCATGTGCCGATTTTTAACGGCAAAGAAGTTTTTTTTTTATTATTTATTCATGATATTTACAACTGTATTAATAAATAAAATACATCTAGTGAATTTGATAACAGAAAATAATAACATGAAATCACGTGTTGAGAGACTACCCACTGGTAGCACTCTAAAAACAAAATGTATTTACAATAAGAGATCTCGATGCCATCTTCTTTTGAGACGCCTCGGAGGGTTATCAGGAATAGAAGAGGAAGCAAGGTTAGAGACGAGAGGATTCGGATGGTTCTGAAGTTTATTATGGAAGATTGGTATCTGGATTGGGCCAAATCGGAAACATAAAGAACATTAAGTTCATTATGGATTATTTTATTGGTGACAAAGTAAGGAGCAGTGAGGATTTTGGATTGTAAGGATTGGATACGCGAGAAATTCGATGGCTTAGCAGAGCCCCAGAGGTCAACTCCGTAAGTCCAAATAGGTGTTATTGTAGTCATGTATATGAGTCCTTTGTAATTGACTGAGAGCTTAGAGCGTTTGTCTAATAAGTGTTGGAGTAGTCGGAAACGTCGAGCGGTTTCTTGTCGTTTCAGTCTGGTATGAGGATTCCAAGTTATAAGTTTGTCTAAGTGGAGTCCAAGGTATCGGATTTGTTCACCAGAATGATATTTAAAAGAGGATTTTGATTGGCTAAACTACGATAAATTGTGTTCTTCATTAAATCATTGATTACACTAGGCAAAAATGAAAATGTTTCTGGCACAGAAATAGTCAATTCATATGTATTCCCATCTGCTGAATTGAAAAATCACCATAAAATGACAGATTAGCTCTTGTTTTGGAGATAAAGTGATATTTCATTTTTTAGAGTCAATATTTTCAATTTGGGGGAATTATTTTTTTCGGGAGTTGGTACACTTTGCAAATGACAAAACACAAATGCTCTTCACTGGCTGCTTGTCTGATACTCTTTGAATTTACAATTAAATGGTTAAAATCTAGAAATTTATTTCGGGATCAAGTAATAGATTTGAATTGAAATAGCTTTGGTAAATTACTGCAAGTCTGCTTTCTTATATAATAATGCTCGCTAGAGAATTTAACAATTAATAAATTGGAGAATGGTGGTGGTACTCTTTTTATAATTAAAATATTTATATAACTTTTACATTGTAAATATGATTGTTCTTATTAATTAGTTATATATTAATAAATTGAAATATAATTTTGTTATGAAACATAGAGTCCTCTGACGGTCAACAGACCATGTAGCACGCCTGACAAAGTGAGGAGCAGTGAGGATTTTACGAAGGATTTTGGATTGTAAGGATTGGATAAGCGAGAAATTCGATGGCTTAGCAGAGCCCCAGAGGTCAACTCCGTAAGTCCAAATAGGTCTTATTGTAGTCATGTATATGAGTCCTTTGTAATTGACTGAGAGCTTAGAGCGTTTGTCTAGTAAGTGCTGGAGTAGTTGGAAACGTCGAGCGGTTTCTTGTCGTTTCAGTCTGGTATGAGGATTCCAAGTTATAAGTTTGTCTAAGTGAAGTCCAAGGCATCGGATTTGTTGAACAGGGATAAGTGGGGTATTATTAAAGGATACTGTGGGACATGAGGTGATAGGTTTACGTCGAAGGGTAAAGGTGATTTGATGGGATTTATTCGAATTTATTTTAATCCTCCAGTTTTGACACCATTCTTCAAGGCTTGTGATGTGTGATTGAAGTGTTTGGGATGCAATGGTTGGGTCATTATTAACGGATAGGACACATGTATCATCGGCATACGTGGTAATAACAGTGTTCCGGTCAATCCTCTTTTAAATATCATTCTGGTGAACAAATCCGATACCTTGGACTCCACTTAGACAAACTTATAACTTGGAATCCTCATACCAGACTGAAACGACAAGAAACCGCTCGACGTTTCCGACTACTCCAACACTTACTAGACAAACGCTCTAAGCTCTTAGTCAATTACAAAGGACTCATATACATGACTACAATAAGACCTATTTGGACTTACGGAGTTGACCTCTGGGGCTCTGCTAAGCCATCGAATTTCTCGCGTTTCCAATCCTTACAATCCAAAATCCTTCGTAAAATCCTCACTGCTCCTTACTTCGTCACAAATAAAATCATCCATAACGACCTTAATGTTCCTTATGTTTCTGACCTGGCCCAATCCAGATACCTATCGTTCCATAACAAACTTCAGAACCATTCAAACCCTCTTGTTTCCAACCTTGCTTCCTCTTCGATCCCTGACAACTCTCCGAGGCGTCTGAAAAGAAAATGGCTTCTAGATCTCCTTTTGTAAATATATTGTTAGAGTGCTACCAGTGGGTAGTTTCTCAACAAGTGGTTTCATGTTATTTTATTCTTCTGTATACATTTACTAAATGTATTTTTATTTGTAATACAGATGTAAATATCATCAGTAAAAAATAAAAAATAAAAAAAATATCATTGATGGAGATTAATTCTATTAGTATATAAAGAAATTTTGTTCAGTTTAATATGAAGCAGCTGTTAATTACACTAATTAAATATTTTTTGTAATATTGCTTTCTATGAAAGAGAAAACATGGCCACTATAAGAAAACACAAAATTGGATTTAACTCCTATTCCGTTCCAAATCCTATCAATTCATCGGGACTTTTTTGTTGGAAATTTTGTTTAGAATCACCTCTCAGAGTTTGGGCACTAAGAGCTGAGACACCCAGTATCAATAATTTTTTTTTTTTTGTAAATAATTTTATTGAGGTATAATACATTTTACCACACTTAAGGGTACTGAGTATTAAAGCTGTAAGGTACATTCATACTATATTTACAATATAATAAAATAAAATAAAATAGATATATAAAAGATAATAATGTATATATAAAAAAAATAAAAACTGTAGTAAAAACAAAGAAATATAGCTTATAGTGAAATAATACAGAAAATTAAAAAAAAAAAAAATACCAAACTAACAGTCATACTTATTTACAATATTAACGATTATCCAAGGGAGCTCCGAGTTCAGCCCCTTCACCACGTGTAGAGGACAAGGCTAGGCTCCAAGAGATCCCAGCGCTTCTCTCTCAGCCGCGTCACCGGAATCTGAGTCCAGTGGAGGCTAAGAGAGAGCACTACAGCCACAGACGCTCATGACCATAAAATTAGATTTAACAAAATATATTGTAAGTATATACCACGGGCGGATCTACGGAGGGGGGGAGGATTTCGGGCTGAAGCCTCCCACCCAAAATGGTAAAATATAACCATGTTTTATGGGAAAAAGAATTTTAAAAATACCTCTTAAAGTATTATTGTTCGTGTAATTACATTTAAAAGGACTTAAGGAATCACTTAAACACTATTTCATATAGGTAGTTAGTTTCTTTCTGTTTTTCCGAATTAATTATCGTTATTTTTATGAAAAAAAAAGCTTTCGGGCTGAAGCCCCCCTAAAATTAAATCCTGGATCCGCTAGTGGTATATACATTTAATTACTAGTACACATTAAAAGCCTGTTGGATGGCAACATTTTTTACAAATTTGATGTGCTTACTTTGTCTCATTTTTTTTTTTTTTTTCAGGAATTAATACTTATCCAAGTCTCTAATCTAAGAAGAGAGTAATTCGATTTGCTGAGAGCTTAATGTCAGAGAGGGACGGAGCTCTCACCTGCCCCGAGATAATCTGACTGTCTCCCAGCCGGTCCTTGGGTTAGCCCATTGTGGGGCGACACTTCTATAGAAGGAGCGCCTTTCTTCGAATCCTATAATGGACGAATTATCCTGTTTACTTACCGGCACAGGTCACAATGGACCCAACTCGGTCTGTTTACCCGATGTTTGACCGAGCTCCTTCGCCGGCAACTTTGGACAACCTTATCCCTCGTCCACTCCTTTTCACCCCTGCCGAACTAATAGCCTGGATTCTGACGCTTCGTCACCGAATGCTAGCATTGTACTGGTGGATCAGGGGTTTCGGCCGGCTCTTTTTACGTCGGTTATACACAAACAAACATGTCCTCTCAGATGACACGCATTGAAACTGTTTTCATAGCAAAAGAATACACTGTTTGTTGAAATCCAAAACTGTGTAATGGCGTATATATTCACATATTTCTCTTCTACAGTAATCCTATTGAAGGTGTGCACATTTGCCATTGAATGGATGATCAAAACATTTTAACGATCAGCCTGATTCTAATGAAGCTTTAAGTGCATGTTTTTCAATCGTTAAGAAAAAACAATTTTTTTTTTTAATCTTATTTATTGAAAATATTACAATCTGTCTCAAAGGACATTTATAATAGTGTTCACAGATCACATTCAAACTCTATGTACAATAAATAAAATAAAATAAATTATACAGAAAAATAATATATATACAATATATAAGAATAAAAGGAAATATATAAGGAGATCACGAGGCCATATTCTTTAAATAAAAATAAATTATTCAGAAAAATAATAATAAAACAACCTGAAAATAAATAAATAAAAAAGAACACATACATATCTATATAAATTGTTTACAATCAAGCGAGAGAACTCCGAGCCAGACTTGTCCTGTTTTTTAAGTGTCATTTTTTGTTGAATCGGAAGCGATAACTAAAGAAATATTTTATTAACGTACTTTTTTTTAAAACTTGTTTATTGGTATTACAATCTGTCTCAAAGGACATTTGTAATAGTATTCTGAGATCACATTCACACTCTATGTACAATAAATAAAATAAATTATACATAAAAATAGTATATATATACAATAAATAAGAATAAAAGAAATAAATTAAAAGAACATATACATACCTATATACAATATTTACAATCTGGCGAGAGAACTCCGAGCCAGACTTATCCTGTTTTTTTAAGTGTAATTTTTTGTTGAATCGGAAGCGATAACTAAAGAAATACTTTATTTACGTACTTTTTTTTAAAACTTGTTTATGGGTATTACAATCTGTCTCAAAGGACATTTGTAATAGTGTTCTGAGATCACATTCAAACTCTGTGTACAATAAATAAAATAAATTATAGAGAAAAATAATATATATATACAATAAATAAGAATAAAAGAAATAAATTAAAAGAACACATACATACCTATATACAATATTTACAATCTGGCGAGAGAACTCCGAGCCAGACTTGTCCCTAAAACTGTGGAGGAAAAAGCATGATTCCAGGAGATCCCTGCACTTCTCTCTCAAACGCGTCACTGGGACTTAACCGGGGAATGTTTTAGCCACGTTTTATTATTTTAATGTTAAACTATTGTCTGATTATTGAACGATTTAATAATTTTTATTCAATATAACTCAATAATGCCTGCCAGTAGTGTTGTCCAAATGCGGGACCAAGAAGAGCGTTGCTCTTGCGTACTCAGTCTTGCTCTTGGTCTTGTGCAAGTGTCTTGCAGTTACCTATTAGCTTATTACCGTAGAGATATTACTGTAATTTTTTAGATAGGAAAAACCTAACTAACCCGGAATGAAAGATTAGAAGAGTTAAATGCGAAGGTATGTTGTCCATAGCAATTCTTTGCATATAGTAACTAAAATTGTCTAGTATTAGTAACTACTTATTTTATTTTTAAAAAACTCGATTTTTTTTTTATCAGTCTTGGTCTTGGTCTTGCAACAGTTGACGGTCTTGGTCTTGGTCTTGCCTGAACCGATTTTGGACAACACTACCAACCAGTTTCTGAACTAACTGAAAAAAAATTTTTTATTCTTATGTAACAGCAAATAAAGGTAATTAGTTCCCAAAAACATTACAGAATATTCAGCATAGGCGCTGACTTGGGGAGGAGGGGGGGGAGGAGGGGGGGAAGGGGGGCGATCGCCCCAATAAAAATAGAGAAGGGGAGAGAATATCGTATACCAATATTTTGAATAACACACGAAAAAAATCGAAATCAATAACAATTAATCTAAATGAATGAATAAACTAAAATCAATTAAGGAAATAGGAAAAGTCATCTAAATGGCTAAATTAAGGCCTAGAATTAGGTACGCGGGTGTTTTACCACACCCTACATTCCTGTTATTGAAATCTTATTTTATGTTCAAAGATGATTATGTGTTGCAACCTATCCTAGGATTTTATGTGTCATTTATGTGCGTTCTTCCTTTTAAGTAAACATTTGATCACATTCTCGCGGCAAATTTAAAGTACCAGTTCTCCGATTTTTTTTTTTAATTCTATTTTATAGAGTTTATGTTCAGTCGCATTGTTAACATGTTTTCAAATATATCAGTAAAAAAATTATATATATATATATTTATTAAATTATATAGGGTATCCCGTAAGCAGACGGAAATTTTATAGGCTGATCATTTATTCATTTATATTTATCATCATTAATATACAGGTCTCCCGTTAGTAGAGGGATTTTTTTATAGGAGTGATAACAGACCTCAAGAGCTACAAAAAAGTTAATATAAACAATGGACGAATTTTCAGCAGAAGCGTGGGAAATCCAAGTAACGTGTTTTTTTTTAAGTGTCTTGTTTTTTGTTGAATCGGAAGCGATAACTAAAGAAATATTTACGTAATTATCAATCACTTCACCGTAAACTCGACAAAATTTATTCGATCAAAAATCAAAGTTGATTTTGTCATACTTAAAACCATTTAAAGAGAATTTTTGAGCGGGTAAACTAAGCAAAGTTATCTTTTTAAAAAAATTATAAATTATTCGCGATTTTTTTTATCGCGACAACAGATACTCCACTTTTAGAAAAGCATCTTCGTTTGATAAGCTCTAAGTCCGTATTATTTAAGTTGAGGTTCGTCAGGAAAAAACTTGAGCTTCACCTCAAGTTCCGTAATTAATTGATGTAATTTTTTATCCCGTCCGGTAAAATATTTCTGTTTTCAGCAAAAATGGCTACAATTAATTGTTGCAAAGCTTTTATTTCTTGTTTTTCCCATGATATGGGATCTATTACCATAAACATAAATGCCTAAATACAATTTTTATTCATGAAAAAAATAAACTTGAAAAATATTGATTTTTTAAAATATTTTGTTGGCACGTCGGTTATAAAACTGTGTTAATCACCAAGGCTTCTATAAACTCTATCATAGGAATTGATCCGTATATATATATATATATTTTTTATTTAAACATATAATAATCAGTCTTGTGGGTAATAATTATTGTCCTACGGATTAATGAGTATGCTATGTATATAGCAACCCAATATAATTGGGAAGCAAACTTTTATATTTTATATGAAAATAAAGTGTTTCTCTAGCGATATATGAACACATTCACACCATATATACAGAAAATATAACATTAACAATAGTAAAATAATAATCAAACAAATTATGTATAATAAAAAATAAAGTAACCTGAAGATAAGTAAACTAAAACATAAAAACACAGCCATACCTAAATACAATATATACAATCAGGTAGAGAACCCCAAGCCAGGCTTCTCCCTCCAACTATAGAAGGAAAAACAGGACTCTAACAGATCTCTGCGCTACTCTCTAAACCGCGTCACTGGTACTACCGTTGAGCGGTCAAACTCAGCTAAGTTCCGTTTAAAAAAAAGTCATGAATTATTTGTGATTTTTTTGTATCACCCTTCAACTGGGCTATACTTACCCAACTATTGAAAAAAATTCTCGTTTAATAAGCTTTAAGTCCAGATTAATTAAGTTGAGGTTAATAAGGAAAAATTTTGAGATTCACCTCGAGTCATGTAAAGAAATGATGTGATTTTCTATTCAGTCACCTAAAAATACCCGTGTTTTCAGAAAGAATGGCTAAAATCAACAGTTGAAAAGCTTTTATTTTTCCATGATATGGGATGTAGTGTAATAAACATAATTGCCTAAAAACACATTTTCTTTATAAAAATAAATATATGAAAAATAACTACTTTTCAAATATTTTTCATGTAAGGTGGTTATGCAATTGTGTTTTTTTTATAGATTTCTGTCAGTAATAAATACGTATTTATAAGTGACAACCTTAATTTTGTTTTTTACAAAAATTAAAATAAATAAATCTACTGATTCGTTCAATTATTTTTCAATAAAACGTAAATATTAGGGCTAGAATCATTAAGTTTGTCACTTATAAATACGCATTAATTGCTATGACAGAAATCTAGATAAAACACAAAAAAAAAAAAAAACGCAATTTCATAAACACTTTACATGAAAAATGGTTATTTAAAATTTTTTTTTTGTGTTTTTAATCAATTTTAATCAAATGTGTTTTAGGCAATTTATTAAAATACATACCATATCACGGAAAATGAGAAATAAAAGTTTTGCAACTGTTAATTGTAGTAATTTCTGCTGAAAACGTGGTTACTTTCAAATGACTGGATAGATCATTTCATCCTTTTTTCTTGTGCTATCAATGGGTATTTTCTCTACATTTGTTTCATGTCATTATATCCATGCACGAATTTACTACTCAGTCGTTAAAAATGCTGGAGCAGGGGTTTACTCAAGGGAATTCCAAATCAGCGCTGCGGTGGGTAAAGATGGAACAAATTTCGACGGTGAGATAGCGGCGATCCTCATAGCCTTAAGAACATTGTCTAGAAGGCGGGATCAGAGCGCTGTTCTCTTCATCGACTCCCAAGCAGCCATCCTCGCTGTTACAAGCACGAATGAATGTTTATCGAGTGCTATATTGGAATGCAAATCCCTCCTCTCTAACCTGACACACCGAGGCACCAATGTGGTCCTACAGTGGATCCCCAGCCATTGTGGGATTCCGGGAAACGTTGAGGCTGATATTCTTGCCAAGCGAGGAACAGATTTGCCTCAGCCGATACATCCAAAACCTACGACTCAATACGGCGAATGGTAAAGATGGTAGTGAAGGAAGAAATAAGAAAAGCACATTTCGGCAAAGTGGAAGGGAAGCGTTACGAGTTGTTGAAGGATAATCCGATTTCAGCTGAGCTGCCGAGAAGAGATGCAGTTGCCTGCTTCCGCCTGGCTACTGGTCACGACTATATGCAGAGTCATCTCTACAAGATAGGCGTCGCTGAGGATCCCATTTGTA